TCAAGCATTGTCAGGCTTGCCCCTACTCATTATCCTGTCTCTTATACACATCTAGATGTGTATAAGAGACAGCACACACACACACACACACACACACACATGTGGAAAACAACGAGCAGAAGCATATAGCACATAGACATACAGAATCGAAGAAATGCAAGAGTAGTGACACACTGTTTTGTCGGCAGGAATAGTGACAGACTGTTTTGTCGCACTTGCACAGACTTATCAGGAGGCTGAACCCTTGCAGGATCCCCTCAGAAATGCTTTGAGTCGCAACCAAGCTTCAAACCCTGATGCGGATGGGCCCTCACAATGCTCCTACTCGCAACCAAGCGCTTCAAAAGTCAAACCCTGCTGCTGATGGGCAAACACAGGAAAGCCTGCAGTGTAGTATGGACAAGGCAACATAGAGCAAAGTAAAGCACTCAGGCAGCAAGGCAAGGCAAGGCAAGCAGCAGGGCAGCGAGGCAGCAAGGCAGCGAGGCAGCTAGGCCAGGCAAGCAACAGGGCAACAAGGCGAGCAGCAAGGCAACAAGGCAGCAGGGCAGGAAGGCAGGAAGCCAAGCCACAGAGCAGCACAATGCAGCAAAGCACCAGGGTGGGAGGGCAATAAGGCAGTGAGGCAGTGAGGCAGCAAGGTAGTACGGCAAGCAGCACGGTAACTAGGAGCAAGGCAGCACTGCTGCAAGGAAAGTGGCAGGGCAGCAGAGTGGGCAGCAAGGGATCAAGGCAGCAAAACAAGGCAAGCACTGAGGCAGCACAGTGATCAGTGAGGGAACAAACGGTAAGGCAAGCGGGCGGGCAGGTGCTCCGGTGGGTAGGACACCAACGTGGCAAGGCACAGAGCAACAATCAAACCGGACTATCGCCCACTCACATCATAGGGAAAAACCTGCAGACTGTAGGTTCGCACCACCATCAAGTGCCAGGAAGCCACAAGACGAATGTCTGTCATCACTCACAAGCACAGAGACAGAGGCATCCCAAACATCAGCAGCTCCCCTATTGCAATCAGACTCGTACTCGTTCACACTTTTCATGCATGTAAACAGCAGCACAGCAAACTGGCGACATGCGCCCACTCGAAACTCAGAGATATGGCTTCCAGATACGAGTTCACTTTCAATTGGCTATGGCGACTCAGCGCCCAAACAACTCACTGTTCACACACACTATACAGGCACTCTATACAAAAAGGCACCGACTATTTGGCACATCTTAAAGGTACTAACGGTAGGCACGTAAAAAACACCTGCGGAAAGACCAAGGGACAGGAGGAAAGCACCGGGAAGACGAGAGACAAAGAAATAAGGATAATATATAAATTTTAAATTTTAATACATAATAAATAAGTTAAAACTTAAACGTTAAGACAACACGAAATCATATTAAAATGAATTAAATATTAAAATAGTAAAATAATGAAAAGATAATATGTGTGTGTCTGTGTGTGTGTGTGTGTGTGTGTGTGTGTGTGTGTGTGTGTGTGTGTGTGTGTGTGTTTTGAATTTCACCACAACAGCCCCTATTCAACCCAGATGGGCAGATCCAAAATCAAAGCATATTCATATTGAATGAATTTCAATCCTATTACAGACAACGAAAGCCCTTGCATTCAGACAATCCAACAATGAAACAGTTTCGCGGTCTCACCTCTATAGCAAGCAACATGAAGTACAAATAGAAGCATGAAAACCCCTTGAAATTATTGAATGTGTTCACATTTGGCTTCTTCGGGGTACCCCTTTCATTTGTTCTTGCATCTCCCCCTTTACCATGCCTCCCATGCACAAGGCTCGCCAAGTTGATTGTGGTTGAGCACGAGCTGGCCCCCACATCCTCATGTGCCATAATGTGTGTGTGTGTGTGTGTGTGTGTGTGTGTGTGTGTGTGTGTGTGTGTGTTTTCGAGGGGGAATTGACTGATTTCAGAGAGGAGGTCTTCTTACTACTAGGGATCTGGTTGATTGCAGGAGGCTTCGGCCAATTGCAGAATGGTTGGATTAATTGCAGAGGGGTCTGCATAGTTCCAAGGGGGTTGTGATTGATGGGAAGGGATCGAGTGCTTGGAGGAGGGGGGGTCAATTGGGGTTTGAGGGATAGGGTAATGGTCTGACAAAAAATTTCCATGCTCGCGATTCACTTGGTTCCAGGGGTATGACTGACTGGCTGGAGAGTCTAATCGATTGCACTGGGAGTTTCATGGCATGCTTCTGAGGGGGGATCTGATTGGAGGAACGTGTCCATCTGTTCTTTTTCCTTTAAAAAAAATAATAAAAAAATTTGGACCATTTCTCAATTTATGCGTGTCATCTTTGCGCAGGGGCCATGCTAATCTTCTTTCTCTGTCCCGAAGGACATATCTGTTCTTTTTCCTTTGTACCGGCCACAGGCAATTCAAAATTACTTTCTTCCATAGTTGTGGCGCATTGAGGTGCGTGCCTCAGCGCACGTCTGGCGCACCTCGCGCACCGCAACCAATGCGGCGCAAAAAAAAAAAAAGAAAAAAAAAAGAAGAGGTCCACCCAAAAAGGAAAAAAGTGCCAGGTGTCATGGAACACCCTGCCTCGTGGATATAATTATGCTAAGGGCTAAACCCCTTTCTGAAAAGGAGAAGGAAAGCGAGTTCAAGGCCTCTCTCTCTCTCTCTCTCTCTCTCTCTCTCTCTCTCTCTCTCTCTCTCTCTCTCTCTCTCTCTCTC